GCATTAGATTAGCTGCAAGTAGTACTTATTAACCCGTAAACGACCTTTAGCTCAGCTAAATTAAAAGCTGTGATTTCTAAAATAAACATATTTACACCAAAAAAACTACCTAGGAATAAAATTGATGTATTGAATGTTTTTAAGTGGTAGATGCCATTTTTATAATGGTAATTCTTAACATCCTTAATCTCTTTCATATTTGAATATGTATTAAAGTTCTTTTTGTTTATTGTTCCAGATTTTTGATGCAACCATGGACAATGCCCGACTGGTTCTTAACATTGACAATGCTCGCCTGGCAGCTGATGACTTCAGAGTAAAGTAAGCCCCGCCTGCTTTACTACCAATAATGTAAAACACCAAGGCAGACAGCTGCTGGCACACCCTGTTTTACTACAGAATGGGCTTTGCTATGAATAAATCCTGTCATGATCTAAGGAGGGAGTCATTTGTCTCATAGTCATAAATCTTCGTCATAAATGGTTTAAATACTATAGTTGAGTCAGAGATGTAAGAAAAAACAGCCGCTTCCAATCTGACCGAATCATCGTGTAAATATAATTCATACAGGGTGTTTGATTTTAAAGAAACCAGCACAGAAGGTTTCTTCCTTCCCTACCCGATAGTGTTAGGTAGAGTACAATATTCCAGGGATTATAGTTTCTATCTGATGTAATTTAAAGTCAACCTTGCTGCTTTTTTCTAGATACGAGTCAGAGCTGGCCATCCGTCAGTCTGTGGAGGCTGATATCGTCGGTCTGAGGAAACTCATTGATGACACTAACCTGAGTCGAATGAACCTGGAGAGTGAGATTGAAGCTCTTAAAGAGGAGCTGATCCACCTGAAAAAGAACCATGAAAATGTAAGATTAAAACCAGCCTACATCAGAGTCTGCATATTCTGCAACACCCGGCACTAGCTTTGATCAAGATATAGTCCTGAAAGCCTTCTCTAGCAAATGTCCATGTTCTAAAAGGATCTTGATGAATTTTTTGTACATAAGCACATGTCAATAATTATATCTATACTCAAAGAATACAATTCTGTGGGAAGCCTCATCATGAAATTCCTTACAGTCCATACAGGGAAGAAAGAGAGCACCACAGAATTAAAATAATTGAGTTTGCTCAGAGTGAAGCCAAAAAACAGCCTTTGTTTACTAAGGGATGTTTTAAACTAACTCTTTATGAACCAAGAGAAAAATTAGGACATGTTCCCTGTATTTTTATCTGACCATAAAATACGTTTAAGGCCTTGAGTCACACACAGGACACCGTTCAGAAAGCATATGTAGTATTCTTGTGAGATAAAATTTAATACAGATCTGTTTGGTAATTTTGAAGAAGTTGAATTGCATGACAAGTTTAAAAAAGTCAAATTTAAGGATAGAAAAAAGGACTAACACTATGAGTTGATAGTTTTCAGGTTCCCCTCTTGTAAACAGTCATGTTATCCATTGTTTGCTTCAGTACAGTAGTACATTGATGACTAAGTTAATCAGACATGCATAACAAATATCGGCTAGAAACAAACAAATAAACTGAGTTTTAATTCTACTACTATAAGTAGTAGTCATTAAAAATGTGGATATTTTTTGCGCATGATATCCAAATTTTAAGATACAGAACTCAAACTTTTTGGGGTGTTTCAGTAAACTTCCACATGGAGATTGGAAAGAGTGCAATTACCACCAACCATTGGCATACAATTAGGTGTCCCGAATTGAGTAGGTGTGTGCTTGATGGCCTAGGTCCCCATAGAGTAAATGTTATTAGTGTAAAGAAGAAGTTTTAATCATGTTTTAAAAATAAAAAAGTCACATTAGCCTTGAAGTAGCTCTTTGAAGCATGATTATTTGGTGCTCTGTGGATAACAGAAGTAATGACAGTATAATATACAGTGTGACAATGTGCCAGTTATGACTACAGACCACTTTCAAGATTTTTCCATCTGTTCCTTCAGGAAGTCATGGAGCTTCGTAACCAGATTGCCCAGTCTGGTGTCCATGTAGATGTCGACGCACCAAAAGGTCAAGATTTGGCTCAGATCATGGCAGAAATGCGAGCCAAGTATGAAAAGTTGGCACAGAAAAACCAGGAGGAACTCAAAGCATGGCATGAATCTCAGGTAAATGAGTAACCAACCTTTTGAAGAATTTTTTTTTTGTTTGTTTGTTTGCTTGTTCTCCAGCCTGTTGCTTCTAAAATAATTATTGAGTTATCAAGTGATTCACTAATCTTTGAATGTGATGACCTATCCTTCAGATTATAGAAGTTCAAACACAGGTGACGCAAAACACAGAGGCCCTAAAGGGTGCCCAGACAGAAGTGAACGACTTGCGCAGACAGCTACAAACCCTTGAGATTGAACTGGAGTCACAGAGGAGCTTGGTAAGAAGCATGCAGTCAGCACATACTTCATTTACCTCAACACAAGCTTAACCTTACTCACAGCAATGTCCAAGTCAGCACCCTTTCCTAAGGTCGTTTGCCTTTACTTTGTTGACACAAGCTTTACACTCTGATGGCCCGTCACTATGGTGTTGTCATTACAGATCTGCATAAGCTGTAAAAGTGTTAATCCATTAACCCCCTCCTGTCTTCACAGAAAGCCTCTCTTGAAGGCACACTGAGGGACACAGAACAGCACTACAACATGGAAATGGAGTCACTCAATGTGATTCTCCTGGGCCTGGAGGCAGAACTCACACAGCTGCGGAACAAGATCCAGCTTCAATCTCAGGACTACGAGGCCCTGCTGAACACAAAGATGAAGTTGGAGGCTGAGATCGCGACATACAGACGGCTGCTGGATGGTGGAGACTTCAAGTGAGTAAGGCAGTTTTACTAGGCTTCTTACTTTAAAATAAAATTGCAGAATATAACAGGGTTGTATTTTTTTTTTTCTTTTAGGCTTCAGGATGCTCTGGAAGAACAGAAAACAGTGACAAAGACCAAAGTAATGACCGTCACACAGACCCTTGTAGACGGAAAGATCGTCTCTTCCAGCACAGAAACAAAGAACCTTTAATCAAAGGATGCAAGCAAAACTCATTCTAAAATAACAAAATAAAATTAGCAAAGTGTTAATTTTAATCTGTTCATCAAACTTAATTTCCAGAGTCTCTAATAAGATCAAAAGCTCTTTGTTAAGCTTCACAGCAATGCTAATGTTTTTTGCAGAGGTTGATGAAAATTGGATCAGAGGAAAACAAAACCATCTGTTATTTATTCATCAGGATCTATTTATGTCACTTTTTTGTTGTCCTTTAGATGTTGCCACAGTTCAGGAGTGGTGGACTCTGACAAGCTATTGAGAGAAAAATTGATTAAAAAACAATGGTAAAATTAAATGCAACTTTAAAATATGTGTGTTGTCTTTGTTTTCCTTTTATCCAATTTGCTCTGCCTGCTGTTCTGTCATTATTTCAATAAAGTCCATTTGAAAAAAAACATTTATGTCAAAGTGTGTTATTTCTTCCTGACTATCATCTAAAGGTCTTTAGTGTTGAGTCTGAATTAAAGGAAAGGTAATAAAACGAGGCCTCCAAATATTAATATATAATTAGCTTTACATCCTTTGATAATCTTTGATCACTGAGGATCTCCACGTTTACTCTCCTATGACTAATTGGTCTCAGGTTTGTGCTACAAATAAAAAAACAAATCTAAAAATAATTTAATGAATATTAACTTGTAACTAATGGCATTTGGGCTGTTTATAAAACTATTGTTCTGTAAAATGTTTTATTCTTTCCATGAAACCTTTTTTTGGATCTTATATCATGAAATGCTAAAAGAGGGGAATAGAAGTTTGACGAATTAGCCTTCTAAACTGTTTGGCATACATTTCCACAGACCCCTAATGCTTACTGTACAGTTTCATTTCGTATCCAGTGAAAGGGTCACTAATGTGAATCTTGTTGGTATCATTTAGTTTTCTGTCCCTTGCGTGTGGTATTATGGTTTTAACCTCTGTGTCTATAGTTATGCTGCTATAGGCTTAGATTTCTGGAGGACATAGGAACCTCTTTTTCATCATTCTGCTTCATTCTATCTCTATTTTCCTGCTCTGCGGAATCTGTTAGTTTAATCTGTAACATGCTCTCTCTTTTTTTTGTGATAGTAGCTTCGCCTTGTCTGCTCCTGTTTGGTTGTGACTCCATCCTGGAGAGAAATATCAGCTGTGCTGCTGCCATCAGCACCTTGTTGATAGATGTTCAAGGTCGGCCTGTTATTTAATTGTAGTCCTACATGTATTTCTCTGACTGTAACTGACTGGATGTGCTCTTTTAATCGTCTGACATGGGAGGTGGCTGGAAACTTGGCTGTGTGTTTCCTTGCCTTTTACAGTTGCCTTTTGTATCTCTGCTTCTGTCTCCTTGAACCCCAGTTGGCCTCGACAGATGGCCGCTCACACTAAGCCTGGTTCTGCTGGAGGTTTCTTCTCGTTTAAAGGGAATTTTTCCTCTCCACTCTTACTACAAGCATACTGTGTGAGGGATTGCCTTCGAGTCAATGAGTCGACACTATTAACTGGTTTTCCTTATATAGAAAACTTTAAACCAATTCAACTGTATGATCTGGTGAACTGTAAAGTGCCTTCAGACACATGTGATGTGAATTGGAGCTATACAAATAAACTGAATTTAATTGAATTAAACCCACATTTTCTTTCAAATAAGAAAAAAGGGCTGAATATCCGTTCCCCAAACAGTACTGTAGCAATATATAGCCTTTTAGCAACAGAACACTTCATGTTTGGTGCTATGGAGATTGTGCCATTCATTTTGAAGTGAAAGTTTCCATAGATACAGTTTTCTTTATGAGACATGAATGAAATGAGTATGTCAGCACATGGTTTGGCTTTTATGGATATATTAGCTAAAGAAGGCAAAGTCCAGGTGAAGGTGACACAGGTACAAATGTAATAAAGATAGGAGAGGAGTGGCAGGAAGGAGTACTGGTATTCAGTTGCATATATAAGACCCCAAACGACTCCTTGGTTCTTCACTCTCAGCTTCCAGCTCTTTTCAAGCCTGTGACACTTTTGCCTTTGATTGATCAGCCAAAATTTCTCAACGATGGATCATCTAATGAGACGTCAGAACTCCCAACATGGGTTCACCAGTTTCAGTGTCAGTGGTGGGGCTGGGGGTCATGGCACCAGGATCTCCACAAGACTTGGTGGCAACTTAGGTGGGGGGTTTAACTACCAAACTGGGACAACCAGTGGAACCATGGTAGCTGGAAATGAGAAGATTGCCATGCAGAATCTGAATGACCGTCTTGCCAGCTATCTGGAGACAGTCAGGAATCTAGAGAAGGTCAACAAATCCTTGGAGATCAAGATCAGGGAGACCATCGAGAAGAGAGGCCCGGTAGAAGGAAGGGACTACAGCAAATACGAAGTCATCATTGCCGAACTCAGAGCCAAGGTGAGAAAAAGCCTCCTTAAGACATCCATATCAGGCAGATGGTTTACATTTTTAGAACACATTTTTTACCCTTTGGCTGTTTGTTGTACAAACCATGGGGTATTGATGAATAAGCATTTACACAGCACAAATCTCACATTAACATCTTGAAATTTTGTCAAAAAACATTGTAATGTTTGTCACCGGAACATGGCATGGTGCTGCTATTTATCACAGCCCAGCCATTTATTAGATAATTCTCACTGAGAAACATAAATGGCTTAAAACATAAATTACTGTCAAAATATCGGACAAAAAGGGGAAGGGAATCAGGGAATTTTTATGTTATACCAAGAAGAAAAAACAAGAAACTGGCAAAATCTGCAGTGCAGTGATCTATCTATAACTTGTTGGGTAAGGCTTATTTCCCTTGGCTCATAGGGAAGAACAAAGGTTCATCCAGAACAATTTCAAGCAAATCACAAGCTCTATATGTATCTTCAGTTGTACTTTATGTGAATCCTTGTAAAAGTCTTATCACTTTTAAGCAAAGTCTGTCCTAGTTGAGTCACTTTACGCCTCCTACACTACAAAGATTTTGTTTATGGTACTTTATAAAACTTTATGACCACAGTATGATTATAAACCTTGTGATCCCAACAGCAAGGAGTTAACCAAAGTTTATTCTTATTAAAGGTCGGCCATTGAATCAACTGCAGCATTCACCCCAATTTTGCTTTAAGAAATCCTTGAAAACTGAAAATACTTCAAAATTGACTTAAAAGGGAAATAACTGAATGGAAAAAATTTCCTTTGCTGTTTTTTTAATACTGTAGATTGCTGACATGATCAAAGGAAACGCCCATCTTGCAATTGCTGTTGACAACGCCCGACTGGCCTCAGATGACTTCAGAGTCAAGTTGGTAAAATAGTGTCATTTTTTTTATATTACACCCATGATGAGTCTGACTGAAGTTAAGAAACTGTTCATAGGATGGAGTATGAGCTGTCCATGCGACAGGCTGTGGAGGCTGATGTTGCCAGACTTAGGAAGGTTCTTGATGACACTAATGTCATACGCCTGCATCTGGAAGGGGACATTGAGTCTCTAAAGGAAGAACTGATCACCCTGAAGAAGAACCATGAGGCGGTATGACCATATTTAAGGACTATTAAAATTTATTAAGATTACAGCTATTCAAGTATAGTCCCTGTTTTACTTCACTCTTGCTGCTACAAGGGAATCAAAAAACTTTGCAAATTGTTTCTTACACTTTTTCTTTGCATAGGGTTCCCTGTCTAACCTTTCAGGAAATCACTCCCTGACTTTTTCCTCCCAAACAGGATGTTGCTGAATTGCGAGCCCAGATTGCGCAGGCTGGTGTCCGTGTGGATGTTGATGCTCCAAAGGGCCAGGACCTGGCAAGGATCATGGAGGAAATGAGGGAGAAGTATGAGAGGATAGCACTTAAGAACCAAGAAGAACTCAAAGCATGGCATGAATCTCAGGTAAGACACACTTCAGAGACAAAGATGACAGAGTTTGACTGCAACAGTAAAATGTTAGTAAAATGCAATTTTGAAGAATTACTTGCAGGACCCATCACATATTTTATTTTGTCTTAAGATCACAGAGGTGCAAGTCCAGGTTACTGAGAACACAACAGCATTGAAGGAAGCCACAACTGTAGTGACTGAAACCAGGAGGAGACAGCAAGCCTTGGAAATTGAACTCCAGTCCGCGCTCAGCCTGGTAAGAGGGCTTTCAATTATGGGATGGGCTTTAAGATAATATTAATATTTCATTACACATAATATTAGGCCTTTAGTTTTAGAGTAGTATTGTCCAGATATAGCAGTTTATGGAGGGTAAGGACAGACAACTAAGTCTATTTTGTAGAAAGTCTAAATCCAGAAATAAATGTTATCTGATTTGAAATTGAAATTAGTTATGATGATTTAGTTTTGTTTTCTAAACTTTTAAGAACTTAACATATTGATTTTTGTACCATTTTATAGATGTGTAATATCACACCGAAAGGACCTTAACAAGTAACATTTTTTTCTAATCCCATCTGTTGCAAATCAACAACACATATATTTTGCTACTTCACAGAAAGCGTCCCTGGAGGCCACCTTGCGTGACCTTGAGATGCGGTACAATCAGGAGGTGGAGAAGTACAATCTGATTATTTTAAGGCTACAAGAACAGCTAACTCAGATCCGCAATGACATCCAAGAAAACTCAAGAGAGTATGAAAACCTGCTGAACATCAAGGTGAAGCTGGAGGCTGAGATCGCAGAGTACAGGAGGCTGCTGGACGGAGGGGGTGACTTACAGTGAGTATGATAGGTGACAATGGGCAATATGCTAAAATCCAGGTGATGCAAGTGAAGAGTATGAAAGTAATGAGGTGGATGAAACATAATTACTTTGTTAAACACATACACTATGTTGCATATGTGATATAATTCTTTTTCATTCAAAAACTGAGTATAATTGATAGGGATAGAGTCTCATCTACAGTAAGTCATTAGAAAATCATGTTAACAGTGGCTACGTTTTTTTGTTTTTCTCCTCATTTTCAATGTAACAGACTGGAGGATGCCTTTGATTCAAAGAAGGTCCAGACCAAAGTGGTGACAGTCACTCAGACCTTGGTGGACGGGAAACTGGTGGCAGAAAGCAAGGATGTTAAGTCCAGCGAGCAAACTTTGTAAAGCATATATAATGACAAAATTAAAACTCAGAACAAAAAATTGAAAATCATGTGTGATATTTCTTTTGTTCTGCATCCAATCACCCAACAAATTTCAATGAAACTATAAACAATTAGTACTAACCAAAGAAAGAACAGTTTCACAGTAGAGTTACAAAAATCAAAAGATCACTTTCTTTAAAACTGGATAACTTATAGACTGGAATAATAATTTATTCTAACCAATATACACAGTCAAAATTAGGCCATAAAAATAGAAATATAATGTGTGATGTAAGTTTTACAAGTAAGGTCTATTAAACAATTACAACACTTAAATTTAAACATGCCTACATTAATAAGAAAAATATAAATCTATCCTGATTACAGAAAGGTTTCTGTGGTCTTTGAATTTTACCTTTTTGATCTGCACATTACAGTTCTCCCATTTATGATCTGCCCTGTTTACTTGAGACCTTAAGCTCCAACTCCAACTAATATAAGCCATAAGAAAAAATTATCCACATCAAATTTAATTAAGTCTAAATGCAGACCAGTGAGGGGTTTGATATATCATTGATTTGTAAGTACCTGGCATTTCTAGAACAGGCACGGTAGCAGGAACATGAGAGTGTTCTCAGGCAGTTAATAAAGGGCCAAACATTCAGTACAAGCAAACATTGCAATACCCGACGCACAGCCTTTCAGCAAGAGCAGCTGTATTTGATTTGTGCTACGCCATTTGTTTGCATTGTGGTAGAACACTGATGCCAATTCTTGAGAGATGAAAGGCAATGTGGAAAATGTCTTATATGCCTGGATGGCAGGAGTACATGTCGTTTGGTTCAATTGATTCTAATACTGGGTCGTCCAACATTTGTACATGGCAACATCATGGTGCAATATGCCCAGGCTGGAGGTGCAGAAAACACTGTATTAGTCCCAGTTTAGACTGAGATCTGATCAGAATAACTCTAACTCTAGCTCCTACCTCCTGTTCCTTGCTCCTATCCCTCCACCTTTTACTTGGTCAACACTAAGAATAATATGCAGGGTAGGAAAAGAGCTCCAGACTGCTGTGCTGAATCCAAACAGCCTTCAACTTTACTCACATCATTATGTAGCAGACACAAGCATAAATAACATTGGTCAAAGTGGGACCAAAGCCTAACAAAAAAAAAAAAGTACAAAAAAGTTGTACAAATGTAGCGAACAGCTTAGGCTCTCTATCATAAAACCCAGAACTTAAAGATGTGGGCATTTGCATGTACAAACAGTACATCTCACAAAGAAGTGTATTTTTAAATTTTCTTTTTAACTCTGTCAGGTGGACTGTGGCTACACAGTTTGTCACTTACACAATTCATCTGGGGATGACAGGAAGTTAGCTGTTAGTTTTCTGGCCTGTTAGTGTCAATAGAATTGACACTAACAGGCCAGAAATCAACAATAACTAACAATGCTTTTCCATAGAGAAGAGAAATCAATTCAAAATTTTACAAAAACTAAAACATTAAATGGAATGCACATTACCTTACCCACTAATGGGCTTTTGGCTCCCTTCCATTATCTTCTATAGGGACTTGTATCTAGCTTTCTGTTTATTTGTGTTTACATCAGTCGGCTGCATCCCTGTGACCCAACCAAAACAAAATAACCTTCTTTTAGCCTCAGCTGAATCATGACATAAATAACACTATGCGTCTGCTGTTCATACAGATGTAGAGAACAGGAATTGGTTATTTTCTTGAACTATATTTGAATAGAGTATGGTTATAATTACAGACTACTATAGTTAGGCTGTACTTAAATATATTTAATTTGTAATTACTTTCTCAACATTAACTTTTGAAACCTTCATTTTACATTTAAATTCCACAGATCTTTCTAAAAGAGACTCTTCTAGGCTTTCCTCTCCCATAACTACAGCCAAAAGGATTCCTCATTTTTTCCACATATATTATATAGGGGAGCCCCAGCAACTGCCCACATGTGGCTGATCATAAATCATGTGGGCTTAGTTATTACATAAATCTATATGCTTTATATTACAGTCTCTGTATATGAAGCAGTTTTTGAAGTAGTGAAAAGAGTAAAGGAATCTAACACAGAAAAGATGAAGGCAGCGTTAGAGGCTGAACGACAATAACAAAGCATAGAACTGAGCTTCATGGTTTGTTTCTCCCAGTGGGCCTCAAGGGGAGCTTTTGCTATTTGATAGGTCAGAGAGGGTGTGTTGGCTTAAGGCAGTACCTCCCTTTTTTGTTTTTTACTCTGCTCTGAGCAATTCAGATGTCATTATGATTCTGCATGAGCTTCTTCCCCTTAGTGTATTAAATCACCATATAACCATGCAAATGTCAATGTAAAAACATTGACATTTGCATGGTTTTACGGAAAACCTCTAAGTGTTTTCTGATCTCAACATGGTCATGCTGTCGCTATTTGGTCATATGTTCATTAAGATGAAGAATTAGTCAATTATTAAATCTTAAAAACTTGTCTTTAAGTCATATTTTTTTCTGTGCTATCCAACCACTTTATACTTATTTATACCTATGCTTGTACACAAAATAAAACAGTTTTATTTTCTACCTGTTGCTGAACATTTATTGCGGGTACCTACCTGATACCTGACCCAGTTGAGGACTCTCATTTGTCACACAGACCCTTTAGTTGCTTAAACAGTAGAAACTTGACATTGTATTATTGTATATGTATCTTTAGAGGTTTTGAGAGATTTTCTGTCTGACAGTTTGAATGTTCATGATTGGTTTAAGAGAACACACCTAATGACCAAAACCCATTTTTTATTGTTATATACAGGGTCTCTTAAGTTTTGACAATTGTGAACCAGCCTTAACATGTTTCAACCTTTAGCTCAAAGTATCTTAAAAAGATGTTACAGAGCTGTTATTATTTACAAAATTTGACAATTAAAAATTTTGTGAGATGATTAACATTTCTTGCTCTCGCTCAGCATTTGTTTTAGATAGGACCAAACATCATGCAGTTTCAATGGATTGTTTCAGGGCAGGGGATACTGTTTCCACTTTGGTGTTAAAATGTTGTTGTGCCTCTGCACCACTTCCCTACTCCACATAACCCCCACAAGATATTTTCCAACTCTTTCATATTCAGATTTGTACACTTATTTGATTTTGTGATTCTTTTTCTTTTCAAATGCAGTACTTTTACATCACCTCCATGTTCCCTAATTATATTTCTCCAGGGAAGGGAACTCAATAGATCGTGCCAAGACCAGCAGAGGTGCAGTAAGCATGCCAAGGAAAGGGGTTCCAGCCATTTTTCGTGACCAGCAAGTGACCACACTGGAATAATTTGCTCCAGAAACCAGACTGTGGCATGGTTAAAGCATTCAAATGGCTTGATATAAAAGCATGGTTACTGTCTAGATGTTTTAACTGAACTTTGACTTGGTCTAATTATCTAAAAGCTTTGAACATAAGATCACAGCTTGATATGGTGGAGCTTAGTGCTTCAGTACGTTTCTCCAGGAAGTTGTTTCCTCCTATAGTCTAAAGGGCTGTGGATATCTCACAGCAGTGTGTCCCAGTTAGATTGTTACAGGTATAAAGCAGACATTTTTAATTTATGCCCAATTCTGAAGCTTGGTCTGTGCTGTTATTCCATACCACAACATAAGAGGGACAATCACAAACTAGCTAGGATTGTGGGTGTTGGTTTGATGAGCATGTTGGCCGTCTACAACCGCTCATCCAACAGCAGACGACACACAGTACACCCGTGATTTTTCCTGAAAGGCTGGTCATGGCGCTGCCTGTTTTGGCTTTTGGTGCAAACAACACAAGGTTTCTGCCATTAGGTACCAAACAGGAACCAGGGTAGAGCCGATGTAGAATTGACCAATCAGAGGCCTCCTTTCTCTTCTCCCTGCAAAGCCATATGCGGCACTGTCTTTACTCACCTACAATTTTGGTGTGCATAACTTATCAAGAACAAATCTCCAATGTATATCAATGTATTTGACATGTTCCAGATGAATGCTGAACGTGTTTCTAACTTACAGCTACTGTATAATGGCATATTGGCAGTGTTTCGGTATAAAAGGGCTTTCATAGGAGGAAACCAATATTACTCCTCCAGACTGACTGTGAGTGTGATAAATTCAATTGATTTCAGTTTATTCTTGTAGCTGCAATTCACAACACATGTCATCTCAAGGCACTTTACAATTGAACCAGATCATACAGTCAAATTGATTCAAAGTTTTCTATCTAAGGAAAACCAGTTGATTGCATTGACTAATTGACTCAAATATAATCCCTCACACTAAGCATTCTTGTAGCGACAGTGGAGAGGAAAAACTCCCTTTTAACAGGAAGAAACCTCCAGCAGAACCAGGCTCAGTGTGAGCGGCCATCTGCTGAGGCTGACGGGGGTTCAAGTTCTCCAAGAAGCAGACATAGAAAAACAAGCAGAGATACAAAAGGCAACTGTAAACCAGCTCCCTGTCCAGGAAACACACAGCCAGGCAGCTCCGAGCCAGCTCCCATGTCAGAGGATGAAAGAGAGCACATACAGTTAGTCACAGTCAGAAAAACAGCTCTACACTGAATAAAAGGCCAAGCACACAGATCTATAAACAAAGGTGTTGATGGCAGCAGCACAGCTGTCAAATAATTTTTACTACACACCTTTTACAGATTGAAATGGACCACTCCTTGAAAAATACCAATCTTAATTCTTGATGAGCTCTTAAGATCTAGAGCTCAAGTGGGAGAGTTATTTCACAAGTTAGCTACTGTACACATGGAAGACTGGTGAGAAAAAAACAGTGTTGGGCAAAAGAGTTACCACTTGTATTGTATCACAACATACATAGGAGATTCAGTAAACTCCTTATTGGAGGTTATCTGGTGAGATAAGAGAGAGGTAAGCTGGTCAGAGTTCATGATTAGATTGATGAATATAGTCAGAGCTACAATGTTCCGATGAATGATGTAGAGGGAAAAATGTTGTTGCAACATTTTAAAATTTAAGATTAAAATCTAAACAAATTTAAGATTTTGAAATTACTGTACAT